AATGTTTTATTACATTGCAATTTGCTTAATCTTTTTTATTGTTACACATTGTTTTATTATTGTACTGTATGTTATAATCTTTTACTACACTGATTTTTTATCACAGTTATTTTCACTTATTATTATGAATAAACAAAAAGATTGACGTAACGCTTCCAATAAATTTCAAGAATTAGAGAAGTGACCGATTTTAAAAAAGTAAAAAAAAATGACAATTTTAATAATGTTTAACAATATTTTGACAGTATGTCTGTTTTCATGAAGTTGTGTCAAAAACTGCATGAAAACATTTTAAAAATACAAGTCTTTGTATAAACGTCGCTTGTCTTGAGATAAAAGCTTGCAGTTGTTAATCAACGTGACAAAACTATTGAAACAGAGCCAATGTGAATGAAACGCAACTGAAACATTAGTAACATGATAGGGATCCTGCTCATCTTGAAATTTTCCGTTAGTTGATCAGTTCGGAAGCGCAGTTCGTGAAAGACTTTATTATATTTTTTTATGAAGCTCTCCTGTCATATTATTTATTCCTCCGCGGTAGGATTTTACAAGTTTGCTTATGTCGCTATCCTCATGTGTTTTAAAGGACGAAAGTTCAGTTAATTCTGAATATTTTTCAAAATGTGGTCTTTGAGATGTTCGTCGAAATGCCAGTCGTTTGTGATCAAATGTTTCGCAAGCTACCTTGATGTCATATTGTTGTATGGGACATCATACGCCTGTCTATTAAATCTTTTGTTAAATTTTTTCAGTTGTGCAACCCACATGAATCAAGAATCATGAATCAGGCGGCCGTATATCATATGGGAATCAGTACAATTGCCACCTTCGGAAGAAATACTAATGTTTTTCTTTGAATTTGTGATGGGATTAACTTGATTCACGTTGTTGCACAACGGACAGTGTTTTCCAGTCTATGAATGTTTTTTGTTCCTAATGGATTCTTCATCTACTTCTTCCTCTTCTTTTCCTTTTTCTACTACTACTAATACCACTTCTTCCTCTTCTTCTTCTTCTTCTTCTTCTTCTTCTTCTTCTTCTTCTAATACCACTACTATTACTACTACTTCTTTTTCGTCTTCTTCATCTTCTTCCTATTCTTTTTCTTATTCTTTTACTACTACTACTACTACTCGTACCACCACTACTACTACTTCTTTTTCGTTTTCTTCTTCATCTTCTTTCTCTTCTTTTTCTTCTTCTTCTTCTTCTTCTTCTTCTTCTTCTACTACTACTACTACTAGTACCACCACTACAACTACTTATTTTCGTCTTCTTCTTCTTCTTCTTCTTCTTCTAAAACCACTACTATTACTACTACTTTTTTTCGTCTTCTTCTTCATCTTATCCTCTTCTTTTTCTTATTCTTCTTCTACTACTACTACTAGTACTACCATTACCACTATTTCTTCTTCTTCTTCTTCTTCTTATTATTATTATTATTATTACTTCATTGAGTTGAAACCTTAACGCATAAAGATTAACATTTGTTTGCTTATATTTAGAGATTGCATTCTACCTTCGGACAGAATTAGTTATCTCCCTTGACGACGTCTCTGGCTCCAATACTATGTGTCCTTTGTTTTTCCTTTTTCTTTTTTTTTTCTGTTTGTGTACATGCGACTACAATTAAGATGCTATTTTCTTGTATTTGTTTTACAATGCTTGTGGCCATATAAGGCAAACACAGACATTTGCCGTCATTGTTAGGTTTGGAAAAGGGCATAGGAAAGGCATGAGTGAAAAGAGGGAGGGGTAAATGAATATCGACATAGAGAGGATGATATATTTGGAGAGCGCAAACGAAAGTTTATACAGTTCAAGCTATTCAAAAGTATATACACCTTGTATTTGTTAATATCAGCTATGTTTATTATCGGTCCCGTTCATAACAGCGAATGTCCGAAAACTGGCTTCACCGGAAGCGTTAAATCGTATAGTTCAGTTCATGGAAAAATCGAAACGGAGAAAACGGAAGAAAGATACGTTTTAGATGTCCGAGTACAGCTTGAATGGTGGAGTAATGGATAGCGGCACGGACTAAAGAATCGGATTCTAGTCAAATCCACTTATTTATTTTTATGTGCTAATATCCTTCTCAAAGCTATGCGTAAATAGCAGGGCAGACTGCGTTCTACCGCAGAATGAAATAGCAACTTACTGAGGGAAAAAAATCTACCTCGTCAGTCATATATTGAAAGATATATGATCGCCTAAGCGTGTATCACTCATGCCACATAACTGACTAACTATTTAAAAATTCCGACGATTAATTCGATTTCTTTCTTTATCTGTGATAATGAATATTGTTTTTGCCTGTAAACGCAAAACCGACATTTTCATTCGTGTAGGTTGATTCGATTAATATTTAAAATCGATTAAAGAAAGAAAATTCTGTAAAACAATTTTATCAAAATATCCCTCGCATTAAAATAATATATCAGCACAGAAGATGATTCTGAATGCATTTTTTTCAACGGACACAAAATATTCTTACCATATATCCCTAAACAAAGGATGTCGTGTTCATTTCTGTCCAGTACATTCGTCATTCAGAACTTTTGAATGAATTTTGGCATGATATTTTCAACAAGGCCCCTGTCTGACATATCGACCAGGTCTGGTGTTCACAACGCACACACACACACACACACACACACACACACACACACACACACACACACACACACACACACACACACACACACACACACACATATATATATATATATTTATATATATATAATAAAAAATATTAAAGGTCATAGTTGAATTAGACGAGTAAACATTAGTAAAACGTACTCAATACACATACAAAAATATAAAAATTTAACATGTAGGGCTTTTAAGAAATTAAGAAATCAGCCGATTGCGCTAACTTGGTTTCAATCTTTTGGTATATTCTTTCGGTCAAAATCGCCTGAAGATACTGAAAGGTCGAAAACCAATATAGCCGAATCGGCTGATTTCCTAATTTCATATATATATATATATATATATATATATATATATATATATATATATAGATAGATAGATAGATAGATAGATAAAAATAGACACTTCAAACGTTATAGTAGCTGCTCATATTTCAAATAGATGCCTTATTTTTTTATGTTACTCTAAAATCTTTCAAGTAAAAATAAAAAATTAGGCGTGGTTTTCAATACAGTATCGACGATGGCGCTGTTTCAAGTAATGAAAAAGGTCGGATTAAAATAAATTCATTTCATATATATATATATATATATATATATATATATATATATATATATATATATATATATATATATATATATATATATATATATATATATATATATATATATATTTTATATATATATATATATATATATATATATATATATACATATATATATACATATATACATATATTCATATATACATATATATACATATATATATATATTTTTTATATATATATTAATGCAAATATATATATATGCGTTAATGCTATATATATATATATATATATATATATATATATATATATATATATATATATGAGTTAATGCTAATACATTTACATTTTAGGCGTTTTCCATTTTACTATATTTGACCAAGACTGTTTATTTAAAGGAGGATGCGATAGACAGCAAAGTAGAAATGATAACAAGAACGGCAAAATGTAGAAAAATCCCGTTGATCGTAAAGAGAATTAAAAAAAAAAATGACAAAAAAGAAAGAATAAAGTAAGAAAGAAAGACTTAAGTGAAACGATGAATGAGAAACGAACGATAAAAAAAAGAAAATAGGTTTAACGAAAGAAAGAAAAAAACTGGGACGTAAGAACAGCGAAAAGCGTAGAGGAGAAAGACGGAAAGAAAGATTAAAAATGAAAGAATGTAAGAATGAAAGAAAGAAATAAAGAGTAGAGAAGAAAGACGGAAACAAAGATAAAGAAGAAAGAAAGTAAGAATGAAAGAAAGAAATAAAGAGTAGAGAAGAAAGAAAGAAAGAAAGAAAAAGTAGTAATAACGAATGAATAAGAAATAAGAAATAACTGAGCAATATTGAATAAACAAGTAAGCAAGATAAAAGTAGTCTTACATTCAATGCATCGAAGTTAAAGATTGAAAAAATAAAAAAATAAAAATTGAAATCAAAAAGTCAAATATTAGAAGGTGGAGATAAAAAAATACAAATTAAAAAAAGAAATAAGGATTGAGACAAATAGATAAACGGATAGGGAAGCTAAGAAAATGAAGAACACAAGCGGCAGACAATAGAATAAATATGGTTGCTAAAAAAAGTCAACGGCCGAATTAAATTGGAAACGGATAAAAAGGAGAAGAGAAAAATAAAAATGTGAATACTGAAAAAAAAAAGCACTGGGTAATTAAAAAAATAAGTCTGAATAAGCGAATAAAAACACTGACCAAAATAATGGCCCTTGAAAATGAAAAATGAAAAAAAGAAAGAAAATTTAAACGTCCATAAATAAATAGAAAACTCAGACAAACGTTCAATATATATATATATATATATATATATATATATATATATATATATATATATATATGTGTGTGTGTGTGTGTGTGTGTGTGTGTTTTTTATATGAAGAAAATTATCTAGACCAATAGAAAAAAAAAACAAGAAAAAACTGAGGCTTACATAGGCGTAGAAAAGAGACTGAAGGTGAAATGAAAAGAAGCAGCCGACACAAAGGTAACGCAAATGTAAGGTTGAAACAAGAGAAATAATTTCAGCCATCGATTTTGAGAGAAAATAAAGAAAAAATATTTATAAATGCATCACTAAAAAATAAAGTATAAAATGTAAAAAGCTAAAATGATTTTTTAAAAAAATCCTAGTGCAAAAATAACGAGAGATTTGTTGAAACTTTTAGAAATGAATATAAAATATGGCGAAAAGGATGGGAACATTCTACATGTGAGGTCAAAAAAATGATACTAAGGAATATTTTATCAAAAATAACGAAAGAAAAAAGGAAAGTCTAAAAAAAACAATGAAAAAGGTTAAAATAAATAAATATAGAGAAGAAATGGAAAAGAAAGAAACCGATAAAGTAACACAAAGTTAAATGTTAGAGAAAGAAAAAAAAATATGAAAAATACAAAGAAAGCTAAGTCGCCGAGAACGTGACAAAGAATATAGGCAAAGAAAGAAAGAAAGAAAGAAAGAAAGAAAGACAGAAAGAAAGAAAGAAAGAATGAAAGAAAGAAAAAAAGATTAAGAATGAAAGAAAGATCAGTGGGCGGTAAAAAATAATGAAGCAAAAAAAAAAAAAAAGAAAGACAGAAACACGTAAGAAAAGTAAAGTAGATAAAAAATAAAGAAAGATAAAAAAAGGAAAGAGGCAAAAAGCGCAAAATACGGAAAACGAAAGAAAACCGGTGGAGATAAAGTAATGGAACATATAAAGAAAGAAACCATATAAAGAAAGAAAAAAAGAAAGAAAGAATGAAAGAAAAAGAAAGAAAAAGAAAGAAAAAGAAAGAAAGTGGTAGATAAAGAGAAAAATGATGAAGAACGAAAGAAAGATTAGTGAAAGTTAAAAAAGTAATGAAGCAAACAAAGAAATAAAAGAAAGAAAGAAGTGAGAAAAATAATTTAGTTCGAAGAAAAAAGAAGATAAAGAAGGAATAATTCAAATAAATAGCAAAAAGACTGAAAACGAAAGAAAGGCAGCAAACATATAAGAAGCAATTAAGACAACCAAATCAATAAATAAATGAATGAATAAAGAAAGAAAGAAAGAAAGAAAGGAAGAAAGAAAGAAAGAAAGAAAAATAAAAAAAAGCCATTCATAGAAAAGAGAGCGAAAATTAAGTATAAAAAAAGAGGTAAAAACTGAAAGAAAGTTGTGAACTGTTGAGAATAATGGAAGAGAAGGAAAAAGAATTCAGATGAGAATAAGAAAAACGCTGGGCTAGGTAAATAAATGTAATCAAGAATGTGTTGAAATATTTACTAAAATAAAAGAATATAAAAAAATCAAGAGGAAGAAAGAAGAAATAAAGGAAAGGAATAAAGATATAACAAAAGAAAAAAATGAAGAATGGCTGGATGAAACCTGCGCACAAGAATAAAGGAGCTTTGATTATCTCAAAGTGCCCAAAGGAGAACTGGTTCAGAGAAAATGGCACTTATTAAAAAGCGGGGGAAATCCAAGCCGCTAAAATCTCGACTTAGAAGCTATGCGACGCAGGCGACAACATCTCAGTTTGGGCGCCACGGCATAGAGTAATGGTTAACAAATTAATCTGCTGAAGAATTACTAAAATGTCGTGGATACCATGACACCTAGTTATCTCATACGCGTGGTCTTGTACCAAAATAAAGAAAGCTTAATAAGGGACGGCAGTATGTTATTTTTTTCCTGTTCGGCTTCTTTGTATTATTTGTTGATTTTACAAGCTAACTTCTGATTTCGGGAACTTATCACTGGGAGTCATTGACCGCTTAATACTCCCGGAACTTCTTTTGTGTTCAGAAAATAAAACACCTGTACGAACACAATAAAAAAATTGATGAAAAGCTTAATCGCAGTACCTTGTCATTCGTCTTTAACGAAATATATATATATATATATATATATATATATATATATATATATATATATAGATAGATAGATAGATAGATAATATTAGTGGTAAATATACACATACATATGCAAAGTATATAGATATATATACATAGATGCATACACATACATGTATATTTTTTGAATAAAAAATTCCGAGAGGATAGAATCCAGGTAGAACTCAATGTCCAGGACAGAGTAAGGATATAATAAAAAGGCTTAAACACTAATATTCCATTGTAATCGTAAATACGATCCAATTCATCAGACCTACAAATTCAAAAAGAAAACAAAAAAACATCTCTGGAAATAAAAATAGAATTTAGAGATAGTGTAAGTATGAGAGTGTGGGATGAATGTTAGAGCTAAAGAGAGGGGTAACAGACGAGAGAAGGTGGGAGATTAAAACTTAATAGAGAGGAGTTTTAGAGAGGTGAGTTGAAGACGGTTTAAGTGAGTTAAATATGAATGTTGTCGGATGTCTAATACATTAAAGATGTAACCAGAAAGGATAAATTTTGTGGTGACATACACACACAATATAGACGATCTAATCTTAAAATCAGAAGAAGAGGGAGGGAGAGGAAAAGAAAAGAAAAAAGGATGGGGGAGAGAGATGGGTCGGGGGAAACTAAAATTGAAGGACATTTACTGAAAGGGCCGCGGTGTAATTAAGAAAATTTGACAAAATTAATATCGACTACAGGTTACAAATCAAATATAAACATATAAAAAATAGATATAACGATTATCTAATCTAGCAAGGACCTATATTTTTATTATATATACATATATATATATATATATATATATATATATATATATATATATATATATATGTGTGTGTGTGTGTGTGTGTGTGTGTGTGTGTGTGTCTGTGTCTCTTACCAAATAATAATTGTCAGTGTGTATTTATATGTTTCCTGTCCCATCTCTAGTGGAAAGGGAAGTAAATCAATTTACATTAGTAAATTTATGAGTGATTACTTCCCTAGTCGTTTTAATAATCTATACAAATAAAATAATTATCGTCACTGAGACAAAATTACTTCCCGAGCGAAATGAACCGTTTATTTAATGAGATCCTTTGCTCTTACGTTTCTCAGATTTTAGTCTTATTTGTTCAAGCTTTTCACGTGAGGCACTGAGGTAACTTTGCCTATTAAGTGATCGTCTTGCTTCAACTTGGGCTAAAAATATGTTTTGTCGTTGCCGTCATTGTCATTCTTTTACTAATCTTTTTCTTCCGAAAGTTATTTCCATTTCACTCTTATACTGAACACATATTTTTAACACGAAATATTATTAAGCAGAAAACTATTTATATAATACCGGAAGAAATCAATGAATCATTTATGAGCGCACACATAAACACAAGTAAACGTAATAACAACAACAGAGAATAAAATAATGAATAATAAATTTAAAAAGTTACCAAACAACATAGTAAATGGCCCCAAAATTTCATCTGAATCCACAATTTTGTAATATAACCATTACAGTCTATCAAACATCATCTTATCATCTCATCTTATTTATGCGTATCATCGTAAGCATCACTTTATTCCTGAAGGACGAATTTGTCACAGGAAAACTTTTACACAATGTCATACTTTTCCTTAAAATTTTTATTCGTATATATATATATATATATATATATATATATTGTTTTCCCTACACACACACACACACACATATATATATATATATATATATATATATATATGTGTGTGTGTGTACATATATTAAAATGATAAGTAAAGACAGTAAGAGTTATAATCCGGTGTTCTTTGTGGTTATTTTTTATTTAAAAAAAAAATACAATTTTCGATACAAACAGTAGAGCAAAATATAATTATTTTCTTTTAAAATATGATTCGATAGCTACTCAGAAAATTTCCATGTTTCAAAACTGAAGCTAAATTTAATTATAATTTTTTTTAAGTTTCATTTTTATAATTAAATATATAAATTTTGTTTTAGTTTTGAAACATGGAGACTTTCTGTGTCGCGATCGAATCATAATTTTAAAAAGCAAACAGTTATATATATATATATATATATATATATATATATATATATATATGTACGTGTGTGTGTGTTGGGAAAATATGTGACAATGTGGAAAATTGTTCTTGTAACGCATTTCGTCCTTCAGGACTTCATCGTGCTAAATTTGTTATGTTGATGCGACTACACATGCGCACAAACGATGGACCTTGGGAATTTTATATTTAAATAATTTTTTTTTTATCTAGCCGATTCCATTTAGATGATTTTCATTTTGTTTACATCATTTTCATTATTATATAATCCACACTGTGATAATAGAAGATCTGCCAGGAATGATGACATGTTCTAAGAGCCTCGCCTAAAATTTACTGTGACTGACCTTGCGAACATGGCGCTCACTAAACATTTTGGTTATAGTAAATTTTTCTCCTTTGATCATAGTAGCATTATTTTGTCAAAGTAGTAGTCAGTTTCGTTATAGTGGACAACCAACGCATTTGGCATATTGTTTTCTAAAATTGACTTTCTAAAGGACGAAACGAGTCACTCAAAAACCTTAGCCTCTTTGTCATATATTTTCACCAAGAATTATTCTTGATATATAAAATACATATATCGTTATCTCATATATATATATATATATATATATATATATATATATATATATATATATATATATATCTCATACGGAATGACAGAGTGAATTAAATGACGAAATTTTCAGATTCATACAAATCTACCCCAATTCGCAGCGACTTCTCGACTTTCCCCAGAGGCGCTTCGCCGCCGCAAGCCATTATAAAACGCGAAACGTCTTTCCCTAGTGATTGGCTAAGAGATTTGCTTCGATCAGAAAGAGAGTCGGCCACCCAGTGCTAGGATCGAAACTGGATCGATAACGCACACTTTTATTCTTTCCCAACTCACCGTCAGCGAAAATCGTAATTAGGTTCACACACGCACTCACACTCTCACCTTGTGTGTGTGTGTTTTTTCTGTCTTTCTCTCTCTCTCACACACACACACACACACACACACACACACACACACACACACACATATATATATATATATATATATATATATATATATATATATATATATATATATATATATATATATATATATATATATATGTATATATATATATGTATGTATGTATGTATGTATGTATGTATTGCCTGCAGGAGGCTGTATCACCAGCTTTACCAATAAACGCCTTTAGAGCATCTAGTTCAATTTTATAGTATTCTGTACTAAAAGTAGAAACTGACAAAACTTTTGAGAACTAGTTACAAACACAGTCATAAGTGTTTTTAATAGTGCACTTCAGTGTGGTGTAATGTTTAGCAAGCCTGTCTCGCTAGATATGTTACGACTGGGTAGTGAGTTCGCCTCTCACTGGGTACCCTCTGCCTTTGGCCTTATGCAACCTCTCTAAGTTGAGCTTCGTAACTTCGACGTGGTGTAATGGTTAGCGAGTTAGAAAAATCACGACTATATAGTGAGTTCGATCCTCACTGGGTGCCCCATACTTTTGGCCTTGTGCCACATCTAAGCTACGCTTGGAAAAATGGGCACCTCGAGACGGTGTAAAGTTTAGCAAGCATGTCCTGCTAGAACAATTACGACTGAATAGTGAGTTCCATCTTCACTTGGATTCCCATACTTTCGGCCTTGTGCCACATCTAAGCTACGCTTGGGGCACCTTGAGGCGGAGTAATGGTTAGCAAGCTTGTCTTGCTAGAACAATTGCGACTGAAGAGTGAGTTCGATTCTCACTGGGTGCTCCCGATTTTCGGCTTTATGCAACCTCTAAGTTACGCTTCGTAAATCGTTGTGCACTTCGACGTGGTGTAATGTTTAGCAATCTTGTCTCGCAAGATTAATTACGACTGATTAGAGAGTTGGAACCTCCTATTTTCGGCGTTCTGATACACCCAAGGTATGTTTAGGAAACCACTATATGTGTATCTAATATTTACCTTCTGCCTGGCATACTGAGTGACCCATTTTTACACTCGATCAATTAGCCTAATTTTGTAATTATCACAAGACGGGGACAATAGTCCGAGTGTAAATAATTGACTGGTGTCTTGTCTTAAGTCACTTTCTCACCGATGTGACATGGCTTCCATCTGTCTTTTCTACAAATGTTTTCATAGCAACTGCTTTTTTTTCCCGGGTGTCCCGACGACATGAATTTAAGCCTGATTGGCTGTTTATTCTCACCGTTTCACTGTCGAACTAACTAGATGCAAACGCCACTTCTATTATAACACTTTCTTTTCTCGCACTTCTCACCCGTTGAACTCCCTTTCGATTTCTTTCTTCCCTGCCACCTCCGATCTTCAAAAATATAAATGCAACGTCAATTGACATTCTGTCTTCCTGAACACTGTTCCTTTCCTTACTACCCCTCACTTCTCATTCTCTTTCCCACTCTGTAAATTTTTGCGTCTGAGTGGCCTTATCACCTTGCATGGGTAAAGCGATTGAAAAAAAGAAGTATCAAAATTATGTCTTTAGTAAGAAAAAGTTAAATTTAATGGCGGGTTTTCATTTAATATAGATAAAAAAAAAGTTTCTCCAACGTATAGTGATTTACTAAGGGGAGAATAGATGTAGCAGGAGGCTGGAATTATGGAACACCCAGTGAGTGATCGCTAATGTTTATTGCATTTAAATATCAATTAGAACAATAAATGGACTGTTATATACGAATAAACTCTCGCTGTCGACACATGAGTTTAAGCATAGATCCCCAATGAGTAAACACAAGCGATCCCATTATTGAATTAAGTAAGACCACGTGACCATAGAGGAACCGCATATATAAGAAGTCGAGCGAGTTCTAGATTGATCGTTGTTATTTCTATTCTATCCTCTATTACTATACGGACCACTATTCCTTCTCTATCCTCTATTACTATTCGGACTACCATTCCTTCTCTATCCTCTATTACAATACGGGCCACCATCCCTTCTCTATCCTCTATTACTATTCGGACCACCATTCCTTCTCTCTCCTCTATTACTATACGGACCACCATTCCTTCTCTATCCTCTATTACTATACGGACCACCATACCTTCTATATCCTCTATTACAAGAGGGACCACCATTTCCCTTCTATCCTCTATTACTATTCGGACCACCATTCCTTCTCTATACTCTATTACTATTCGGACCACCATTCCTTCTCTATCCTCTATTACTATAGGGACAACCATTCCTTCTCTATCCTCTATTAATATACGGAACACCATTCCTTCTATATCCTCTATTACAATAGGGACCATCATTCCTTCTCTATCCTCTATTACTATACGGACCACCATTCTTTTATATCTTCTATTACAATAGGGACCACCATTGCTTCTCTATCCTCTATTACTATACGGACCACCATTCCTTCTCTATCCTCTATTACTATTTGGACCACCATTTCTTCTCTATCCTCTATTAATATACGGACCACCATTCTTTTATATCCTCTATTACAATAGGGACCACCATTTCTTCTCTATCCTCTATTACTATACAGACCACCATTCCTTCTCTATCCTCTATTACTATACGGACCACCATTACTTCTATATCCTCTATTACAATAGGGACCACCATTCCTTCTCTATCCTCTATTACTATACGGACCACCATTACTTCTATATCCTCTATTACAATAGGGACCACCATTCCTTCTCTATCCTCTATTACTATTCGGACCATCATTTCTTCTCTATCCTCTATTAATATACGGACCACCATTCTTTTATATCCTCTATTACAATAGGGACCACCATTTCTTCTCTATCCTCTATTACTATACGGACCACCATTTCTTCTCTAACCTCTATTACTATACGGACCACCATTCCTTCTCTATCCTCTTTTACTATACGGACCACCATTACTTCTATATCCTCTATTACAATAGGGACCACCATTCCTTCTCTATCCTCTATTACTATACGGACCACCATTACTTCTATATCCTCTATTACAATAGGGACCACCATTCCTTCTCTATCCTCTATTACTATTTGGACCACCATTTCTTCTCTATCCTCTATTAATATACGGACCACCAATCTTTATATCCTCTATTACAATAGGGACCACCATTTTCTTCTATCCTCTATTACTATACGGACCACCATTTCTTCTCTATCCTCTATTACTATACGGACCACCATTCCTTCTCTATCCTCTATTACTATACGGACCACCATTACTTCTATATCCTCTATTACAATAGGGACTGTCATTCCTTCTCTATCCTCTATTACTATACGGACCACCATTACTTCTATATCCTCTATTACTATACGGACCACCATTCCTTCTCTATCCTCTATTACTATTTGGACCACCATTTCTTCTCTATCCTTTATTAATATACGGACCACCATTCTTTTATATCCTCTATTACAATAGGGACCACCATTTCTTCTCTATCCTCTATTACTATACGGACCACCATTCCTTCTCTATCCTCTATTACTATACGGACCACCATTACTTCTATATCCTCTATTACAATAGGGACCACCATTCCTTCTCTATCCTCTATTACTATACGGACCACCATTACTTCTATATCCTTTATTACAATAGGGACCACCATTCCTTCTCTATCCTCTATTACTATTCGGACCACCATTTCTTCTCTATCCTCTATTAATATACGGACCACCATTCTTTTATATCCTCTATTACAATAGGGACCACCATTCCTTCTCTATCCTCTATTACGATACGGACCACCATTTCTTCTCTATCCTCTATTACTATTCGACCACCATTCTTCTCTATCCTCTATTACTATACGGACCACCATTCCTTCTCTATCCTCTATTACTATACGGACCACCATTCCTTCTCTATCCTCTATTACTATACGGACCACCATTCCTTCTCTATCCTCTATTACGATACGGACCACCATTTCTTCTCTATCCTCTATTACTATTCGGACCACCATTCCTTCTCTATCCTCTATTACTATTCGGACCACCATTCCTTCTCTATCCTCTATTACTATACGGACCACCATTTCTTCTCTATCCTCTATTACTATTCGGACCACCATTCCTTCTCTATCCTCTATCCTCTATTACTATTCGGACCACCATTCCTTCTCTATCCTCTATTACTATACGGACCACCATTCCTTCTCTATCCTCTACTATACTACCACCATTCCTTCTCTATCCTCTATTACCGGACCACCATTCCTTCTCTATCCTCTATTACTATACGGACCACCATTCCTTCTCTATCCTCTATTACTATCCCACCATTTTTCTTCTATCCTCTATTACTATACGGACCACCATTCCTTCTCTATCCTCTATTACTATACGGACCACCATTCCTCTATTCTATTACTTACCACTTCCTTCTCTATCCTCTATTACTATACGGACCACCATTCCTTCTCTGTCCTCTATTACGATACGGACCACCATTTCTTCTCTATCCTCTATTACTATACGGACCACCATTCCTTCTCTATCCTCTATCCTCTCGGACCACCATTCTTTCTCTATCCTCTATTACTATACGGACCACCATTCCTTCTCTATCCTCTATTACTATACGGACCACCATTCCTTCTCTATCCTCTATTACTATACGGACCACCATTCCTTCTCTATCCTCTATTACTTCCTTCTCTATCCTCTATTACTATACGGACCACCATTCCTTCTCTATCCTCTATTACTATTCGGACCACCATTCCTTCTCTATCCTCTATTACTATACGGACCACCATTCCTTCTCTATCCTC